TTTTCTAGCGCACCCCTTTCCCTAAACCTTATTGAGACTCATGATGCCACATGTCCAGAATCACACATTATCCAGTAAAATCTCAGTGTAAATTTCAAATGACAGTTGCCATAAAGGCCAGCGGTGAAATGAGCCTCTTCTTCTTCTTCTTCTTCTTCTTAACCCTCTCGATTCTGAGTTCAAAGAAACCGACACTCGTAGCTCAAGAAGATCGATACACTGAGGACCTTTTTACAAGTCTGTAGAATCACGTTTCGTCTATCTAATAATAATAATGATGAAGATCATTTCTATATCGCCCACTCCCGTGTGAACACAGCTCTAGGCGCTTTAAATAAATGCATATACGAACAATATTCACGCACGCAAACACACACACACACACACTCACACACACACATACACACACGCACACACACACACACACACACACACACACTCCAAACACACACACTCATGCATACATTACATGCACATATGTGCACATACATGCACGCCAAATACAAGCACGCACACACACACACACACACACACACACACACAGACTCACACACACACACACACACATACATCTACTTGCTTATCACGCGCGCACGCTTACACATCATTACGAAATAAGCACGTACAAATACATAATAAAATAATATACACAATGCAATTCACAATATACATAAATGGATACATAGTCATTTACTTAACATTTTACTGAACATGAATCTACTGACATAAAAATGATATCATTTACTTTCATTCCATGATTTCAATGTGACTGACCTGTACTTATAAATGCGCTTGGCTATTCTGAACAGATTGAGGACATGCTCAATGAAATCAAGTACAACGAGTACGTGAATCTTGGCCAGTATCAGGAGGATATTGACCTCGGGAGCTTCATAAAGTGTAAGTTGTTCCTGGATATTATTTCTACTCATGGTCAAATAGTGGTGTAGTTTGTGAATAGTACTTTATCTTATTTTTCTCAGTTCACTCACTTACAAGAGGAATAATAGTTAGAAATAGAAACATCTTAACCCTATCCGTACGCCTGAGGTCATTTTGTACCCCCAGGGCTGTATTCTTCACATTTTAGAGTACTTCTAGTACAAAGATCTCTTTGAAACTTCCAGTACTTCTCAAAAAATCATTTTCACCGACTGCTATGCAAAGCGTACGGATCATATTAACGAGTAAATTTCCTCTTTGGAAAGTGGTGGCACAGGGTTTCCCACGTCGTATGGATACGATAGTAAAACACGGCATATGGATAGGGTTAACAGAATGTTTGAGCACCTAGCATGCTCCCTCTCGCACTGCATGTTCTCCAGGGAACTGAGATTGAAACTTAAAATTAATGAATATTTTGACCAAAGGATTTGTTGTGGTACTGAAATAGCTTACAATGAGAAGGGGTGCACAACTACAAAGTGCTGTCAAAACTGTTCAAGACAGCCACCCACTGTTGAGGAGAAAAGTGGTTGTCTAAGGCAAATGGCTGTTTTGGTCAGTGTCATTGTGATATTGGGGAGAAAAAAAAACAAGGGGGGGAGTGGGAAATGGTGGTTTGTACAAGTGATTGTCTTGGATGGTTGATCATTTTAGTAGGTTCGACTGTATATCTTTGGATTTGAAATTGTACAGAATGAACTATTCTTTGTGTTATCAAGTCTTGGATGGTTGGTCATTTTAGTAGGTTCAACTGTATATCTTTGGATTTGAAATTGTACAGAATGAACTATTCTTTGTGTTATCATTGTCCCTAGCATGCATAACTTAAAATTTGCAATAGTGCTAAACTGTTCTTTTTTAAAAATTGTCCCAGTGTACATAACTTTAAATTTAAAATAGCACTGAACTGTTCTTTATTTTATGTTGACCCACTGAACATAACTTTTTAAAGTTTTAAAATGTTTTATGTTGACTCAGTATACATAACTTTACATTTAAAATAGCACTGAACTGTTCTTCGTTTTATTTTTATTCTCAGTGTACATCAACCATAGGCCTGCCTTTGGGTTGAGTCCTGAGAAGCTTCTGTGGGCCTTCCAGACATTGGCAGAGTCCCCAGAGCTGGGCAAAGGTGGCTACATAGAGAGAGGAGACATGCTGGACTTGTTGCAGAAGAAAGGTGCGGATGAGTTGATTTAACTAGCAAAAGAGGGTTTTTAAGGCCGCTCTTTTGGTATTTGTCAGAGTTATCGTTTTCTCTTTGTTTGTTGGTTGTGGTGTGTGTGAGTATGTGTGTGTGTGTGTGTTTGTGTGTGTGCATATGTTTGTGTGTGTGTGTGTGTGAGTGTGTGTGTGTGTGTGTGTGTGCATATATATATGTTTATTTTGAGCTGGGATTTGCGTTATACAAATGCTATCTATTATGATTATTATTATTATTATAATAATAATTATTATTATTATTATTATTATTATTATATGTGTGTGGCCATCAGGTTTGGACAATGGAGTCAGTTGTTGCAGTTGTTCTGTCTCTGTTGCAGGTATCCACAATCCCGAGAAGAGTGCTTCTCGCCAGGATCACCCACTCCTTTGGGTGACATATGATTGTGAGGCAATCCAGCCTCCCGTTGTCCTCCTCAAATAATTGCTGTTCCCTTTTTTCATTTGCTGAGTGCCTCTGAAGCCAGTGTGCCAGGTCTTGATCTTTTTCCTCAAACACAAAGCACAACTGTTCCTCAGTTGACCCGATTTTAATAGGTCCACAGCATGTGGTGATGACCAGACCTTAGTCTGGCAAGAAGGGACTGGTGGCTACGAGTTTCTGTCTCTATCTCTACCCTATTGTTCTCTCATGCCTTATGGTTGCTTGTGTGACTCTATATAGCACAGCCACCGCTGTATAATGTGGGGTACTCTGGGCTTGGGGAAGTCATAGCTTCCTTCACAACTTTGACTGCCTGTTTATTCAGGGAATGTTATTGTGGCCTTGGATCCTCTTGATATTTTTTTGAAAATCATACCCAATCTTTTTTTACGTATTCAGTTCTTTTGTTTTGTTTTATATTTTGTTTCATTTCTTTACATCTCTTCCCATGTCGTCTCTTTATCAAGTGTTTGTGTGTGTGCTATGAGGCTGTATGCCTCTTGACCTGGGTTGACCCTGATAGGCACGGTCAAAGCATCCCACCAATTTTGAGTTTGACTTAGGAGAAGCACATCCACAAAATAACAGTCATTTAGCACAGGGAAGAAGCAAGACAGATAGATAGAAACTGCAGATGGGAAGAAAAGAAGTAGTACCTACGAGTGGTGCCCTCCAAGCACCTGCATCCTCCTCCTATACGATCTAAATGTGAGATGTTCTGACAAAATGAGTTACTTCTCACGATCCATGAATTTAGATATCAGCTGAAAAACTACGCCAGAGCCAAATTTGTACATTTTCAATGGCTACCTTTTTTTCAAGGATAACATGTCTTTTATTATTTATTCATACTTATAAATGGGGACTCTCATGGCCTAGAGGTTAAGGTGTTCGCCTCTCCTTCAAAGGTCCCAGGTTCGAATTCAGGTTGCAATGGAAACATTTTCTTCCCTAAAATTGTCTCCTTTCCCCTCCTTTTCTGCTCTCTAGCAATGTTCTGTCGTCTGCTTTCATCTCCACTTTCTGCCCCCACCCCCTCACCTCCTTTACCTCCTCCTCTGGGCTCCTGATTCTTTCTGCAGTCTTTCTGCTGCTTCACCTTGGCTCCTTCTTACTGCTGTCTTTCAGCCATACCCCTGACTTTGTGGTAGAAAGATCTACACCTAGCCTTCTCAGACAAGGGCGAAAAATTTCAAATGTCCTGTGTGCAAGTTGTGCACCTTGAACCCTTGGTGGTCCAAAATCGATAAGAGGAGGCCTCGGCCGCCACCCAGGCAAAATTCAAAATTTCTTTCCAACTGAAAATGTTTGGTGTGTCCCATGCACTCATATGACCTTATGCAGTTGCAAGTGCAGTAAAACCAGGGGGAAAAAAATACTTATTAATTGCACAAACTTCACCTATAAATTTGACATCTATTTCCGAAGGGCTAAAATCCGAGAGCTAACTCATTTTGTCAGCACTACTGATGAATTGTGTTGATTTGGAAAACTCTATTTGAAAGCCATCTTAACCTCATCTTGTTTCCCTCGACATTGTTCTGTACAGGAGAACACATGACGGAGTACGAACTGGCTGAGCACCTGACTACACTTCTCGGCTTCAACCGCGAGGGCGGCAGTTGTGAACAGGAGCCGTTTGATGCTGATTCGGCTGGAAGCTACATTGCTGAGAACCTGCCCTTCGACCTGAATGCTGAGGTCTTCATCAACGAGATTTTGGGATTCTCAATGACGGTGGACCCACCTGCTGCAGATGACACAAAGGATGTGATCAAATCAGAGGCGCCTTAGAAATGTATTTTCTATGGGTTTTTGAGGGGTTGGGTTTCTTCCTTCTTCAAATTCAAGGCAAGACTAAAACATGGAGACTTTTTAAATTTCTGAAATAGAATATATAGACTACGAAGTTGCAAACTTGTGCATCACAGAATGAGTCTATGGCGTATCGGTGACAAAACACACAGTTTCCTTCTCTGTACAGCCATCAATTGTTTCACTGCTATGGAAAAATATTTTTCTTGTTTATGAGTGGAATGTCGTCTTGCCTTGTGCTTCCCACATAGATAAATAAAAATCATGAACTCTTTTGTCTTATGATTTTTTGTTTTGGTATTTGTTTAACCCGTGGGTTAACCATACAAGGTCACTCAAGAGGCGGGACTTATGAATTTTACGTCCTACAATAACAAGACCAAACCAAATGGGTTGGGAGCCTTGAAAATTTCAGAATAATCCTAGTGTTAAAATCCCATTTCAAGGTTTGAACCAGGGCCGTCTGCAACACAGTTCAGTACGATACCAACAGAGATATCGGTACTCTGTTGGTGAGGGGGGTCTAAATCTAGTTTTTTTTTATCAGTAGCTCAGATGCAGGGGTCCTGTAGGCTTGTGGGCCAGGATACGTTGGGTTAAAGTTAAAGATAAAATAAATCTGACTGAGACAAATATCTGTTATTTTGCTGTCCCCTCAACTACAGATCCAAAATGCTTCACTTTTCTTTTGTATATCTTGGTGGGTTGTTCTTTTTTCTAGTACTATTACATAAATTTAAAAAAGGTCAAAAGTCTTTTTTTTTATTTTGAGTTTTAAAAAATTATGTTTTAGAGGATAAAGTATCTTGTTTGTTCATTTGTTTGTTTGTTTGAGTAAAGAGAAGCACATCGACACAATAATGGTAATTTAGTGCTGGGAAATAGCAAGACAGACAGACAGACAGAAATAATAAGAGGAAAAGCAAAGAAGTGGGACCTACCTGTGACGCCCTGCAATCACCCAGGACAAGGTCTCTTTATATTTGCATTGTGTAACACAAAGGCTACATATAATGTGTGATTGACGTAAACTGGCATTTGCAGAGATCCTGACTTCTTATATCAAAGAGTCTACATAACAAGAGGGGGCACTTCTCTCTTTGAGCCAATTAAAAAAGTGTCCTCAAAATTCGGTGGCGCCCTCTTCGCAAAAGCGCACCTTTAGCGAACAGAGTTATCCTACTTGAGTTTAAAAAATCAAAGTGAAACTAGCAAGTTTTTGAATGAATTTCGGAAGAACGCTTTTTTAAAATGGTTACGCTGACAAAAAACCTCTTCCGGAGGAAAGGGTGATGGTTTTCTTCGTTTAATTTGACTTTAGAATGAAAGGCGAGAGGTCATTAAAATTTTTAAAAACTAAAACTCCGCACTGAACGTACCCGAACTGCTGATGAACAGCAGTCGATCTGCGCACGCAAGGAGGTGCTATTCCTATTCTTCTTCTGGAAAAACGAAAGAGAGCTTCAAAACAGACTGCAGCGCCATCTGAAGCAAAGAGCATACTTCCTGCGGACACTTTTTTGGCTGAGTGGCCCATCTTGTAATTCACTATCTTTGTTAAGGATTCTCTTGTCAATTCTTCAGGGAATTGCCTTCTCTTGTAGTAAAGATAAATAAGTAAAAGAGCAACCAGTTCAAGCATTAGTTTTGGATGAAATTATGTTCATATACATTCCCAAGATTGGGTGCCTTTTCCTTTATTTCTTTTTGTTAATATTACTTTCGTTCCCTCTGTTTGTCTCACTGTTTATTCAACTGCATTTCCCCTCGATACCACGTGGTATAAGAGGACAGAAAAACTAATAGTGAGTAAGTTTATTTCTACAGTACTTTATAGACAGTGCAACGTTTAAATATATCAGAGATCAGTGTCCAAGAATATTTTAATGAATTGTTTGACTTGTGAATATGAGAAATGTCCTTTGAGTCTCAACTTTGAAATGTATCTGTGATATTATTTAACTTTTAAGTGTACATTGCTTTCATTACTTTGCAAAAATATCTATAAGTGACAGCATTCAATCAAGTTCTCATGTGTTTTCCGATAAACCACACTGTTGTGTGATAAATGCCTATTTGTATTAACATGGCCTTGCATTGTTTGTTACCTTGTATATATACATTGAGAATTGTACAAAATTTTTCAAAATAAATGATTAGTACATACACAACCTGTTTCTGACGCTTTTGCTTACTAAATGTGAGGATTGTGGTGAAACCAGGTGCTTGTCAAAATAATAAATTTCTATCGAATTTTTGTTTTTTGGCTCAACACCTTTTATGTCTGCATATAAAAACACATTTCTGTGTGTATTTGACTGAAAAACGTTGATTAAAGGCACAACATGTGCAACTTTTCAGTTTTTAAGGACTCTCAAGCAATTTAATTTAACTAACTTTGGTGGCCATACAAATTTTACCGCTAAAATCAGGCGATCCCTTCAAGCACCAATATTTCGACCACTATTCAAGATAGATGGGTATTATTTTCATTGAAAGCAAGGCCAATGAATAAGCTTTTAGGCAATATCAATAGGTCCACAAGCCAAAACATTGACAAACGCCCTATTCTACTGTGTCGTGACACAAATGTACAGTTTTGTCTATGAAGCCCACAGTTGTACACTAGCCTTGAGAGGCTATGGAAATTGGAAATCAACTCTGTCACTATAATCCCCAGAGGTTAAGGAAACATCATTTTGGAGTTTTGCATTAACCTCTGAATAGACTAACTAACAATTAAGTTAAATGCTTCATTGCTTTGGAAAAACTGGTTTTAACAAAATGTGCTTTTTGTTAAAGATCAAAAGAAAGAAAGAAGGATGAAAAGAAAATTGAAATGGCAAGCAACAGATGCTTGTTTATTCATCTTTTATAAATGTTTGGGGGGTTTTTAGTTTGAGTAGAGAGAAGCACATCGACACCGTAATGATCATTCAGTGCTGAGGGAAAATGTAAGACAGAAAAAAAACAGAAGGAAAGAGGAGAAGTTGGAAAAACAAATGGTGCCCTCCAATCACTGGCTTTTAAATCTGGTGTACAAAAATACTTTGCAACATAGAAAAAAGGGAAATGGAAAACAGACTTGAAACCTTGAACCTGTTTTAGTATTATTGTATCATACACAAGACGCTTGCATCCAGCCAGTAGTAAATAGCAAAGCTCTTGGTCCCCGTCAGGATATCACATGGAAGATGAAAATATTTCTGGATTTTTTTCACTTTATTTTTCCACTTTCACAAGCCAGGTAGAGCTGTAGTTTATAAACTTGAACTGGGTAAGGATTTGTTCAGCTTTTCCTAGCGTATGAGCTTCTCTGAATCTATATATATACATAAAGTGTCCTGGAATGGACCTTTAAAGTTCTCTGTCTTAAAAAATGAAAGGGGCCTATATACTTGTGCTAAGTATGGTTTAAATTAGAGAACAAAATACACAAACACTCACAGAATTTTGAATCAGTATTAACCTCACTTAGACAAAAAGCAGTCGAGAGAAAGCATATTATAATCATCTTTAATAACAAAACAGCAACGAGGGTTACATACGTATGGTAAAGTTATCAACAAGAGTAGGCCTATAGAAAGTCATGTTCATTCAAATAAGAACTGTAACGTCGACTTTATTCTTCCAACTGAAAATTTGAATATCATACATGTATTATGCAGTTGTGTATATAAAATTATCAGTAAGGTTGTAGAATACTATTATTAACTAAAATCTTTGGCATTCACCAAAACAACCTCAAACATCTTTTTAACCAGCATGTGCCCAAGCAAACACACACCCAGGCGCACACGCACGCACACATACACACACACAAACACACACACACACACACACACACACACACACTAGCACACACTAACAAAAATACACACACATACATCTATTATAGGCCTACGCCGTTATCATATTGTCTTTGCCTGTAGGGAACATTGGCTCAGTAAGTAAAACAATGAAAAATCATTTTTTTAAATAACAATAATACATGTAGTTGCATTTATATTATAGTGCTTAACTACGCTCTATCGCATTATCTGTGCACTTTACATCAACTGTTACAACAGCAGACCCGCCTAGACAAGAAAACTCAGAAACATGTTGGCTTTCCGAGAAGCATACATTGCAAGCCGCGGATTAGACACACTCAAACACTAACAAACTGACAAGATCTTTCGCTGTCTATAGCCGGGTACACATTTTTTCCCACCTAAGTGAAGTGAGGAAAATTCGTGTAAAGTGTCTTTCCCAAGGACAAAACGTCGGGCCCCTGACCGATTCGAACCCATGACGTTACGGTAGCGAATCCGAAAGCTATAATACAAGAAATTTATCGCTTGATTAATTGTTGTAGACATTGTGAGTGTTTACTTTTACTCTGCTATTACATTGGCATCAAATACAGCATAGCAGTGTATTGTGGACATTCCGGGTTCGAATCCCTAGTGGATTGTTCTAGAACTCGGGAGATATAAGGCTCTCCAAGTATGCAACTTGGCTTGGTCCTATCAGAGATGCATGTTAAATCGAAGACCCAGTTTCCTAAATAACTTACCTGTGATTGAAAGGGGCGTTAAGTCAATAGTTATATGACACACAACATACCATAGGCTACGCAACATGCTTTGTGTTCGTCACTTTAGAATTCTGAATCATCTAAGATGTGTCATTGTGCTGTGTTTTGCTTAAGGTTTGTGAAAAATTACATATTATAATTCGTTCTGAAGTTTCCAAAGATCACCATACCTTTGGCACATCACCCCCTGGTGTCATTAATGAGAAACAAAGGACATGGACAATAAAGACTTAACATATTCTCTTATCTCATCTTGTCTTATCTTATCTTATCTTATCTTTCTGTTCAACTTAGAATGGCGAATTTCAGTGGTTGGTTGGCGGGTGCTTTGGTGTGGATTGCTCAGATCCTTTTTTTCCCATCAAACATATCGTCCTTATCGCTCCTCCTCCTTCGTATATTTGTTACTCTCTTGTAACGCCTATCTTCGGCACTCATATGACCCCGTTATGTTGAAAGTGCTGAAAAACTATTACTAAACTAAAAACAGGCGGTTTTTATATAATGATCACGCCCAAAATCACGCCCAAATTTGAATTTCTGATAAAGTGCCTTCGAAAAAATTGTTGCATGTTTTCTGTACACTCCTAGTACGCCTAATATCTTGTTGTTGTTGTTGTTGTTGTTGTTGTTGCTGCTGCTGCTGCTGCTGCTGCTGTTGTTGTTGTTGTTAACGTTTAAAACATTGACAGTGTCGTAGTCGTCAATATGGCAAGGAACTTAGGAGTTTTGCTTGCATTAGTCAGACTGTTCTTCCAAGGTATCCTGAAAGTTAAAAAAAAGAAAAAGTGGGTAATATGTAGATTTGGCTACTTTCTATATCATTTCTGTTCTAGACAAGATAGTAGTTTGGCAAAGAGGCTAACTAGCTCCTTTGTCACATTTATTTTAGCTAAGCAAGTGACGTGGATTTAGGGGCTGCGGTGGGCGGAAGGGGTGTACAAATACTTTTGTGTTTTCTTTAATTGTTTACCTAGTTAAGCACACACATGCACGCATGCGCGTCCTTATATAGCGCCTCCCCCCCCCCCCCCCCCCCCCCACACACACACACAGGCATATATCAGAACAAAACCAAAAGCAAGAAAACACCTAACAAGCACTCTTTAACTGATTAAACGGGAACTGTCTGGAGTAGTCCAAGAAAGCTTTCCAACATTGCCTCTGAAGAGCATCCAAACTTAAGCCTACATAAATGCACCATATTCGAGTTCTTCAGTGGAACACCGATAGCTGAGCGGTTACCTCACTGGGTTATGATGCAGATGGCCCTTGTTCGAATCCCTAAAGGCCTGTTATTGAATATTAGTTGTTTGAGAAGCTTTCAACTCTCCCAGTCTACTTTAGTCAATCATATAGGAGATGAAGATTGCATTTGATTGGTTTTAAGCACAAGGGGTCTATCCCGAAAAATGGCGTTTTGAGAAAATCGAAGGAAAAGTTTTTGTCCCTTGTTCAGTATCTTTAAAAGACAAGGAGTTTTCTATACAACCAAACAAATATACACACCAACGAAACCAAACTTCTCCTATAGGTAGGGCCATGCCAACTTTTGGTATAGGGGAAGATTACGGGAAACCCCCAAAAACTGGGTTAGCCCGTTGTCCTTAAAAGCAACCATTTGAAGATCCCATAAATTTCCAATGATTTTATAGTGTTGAAATGAGCTTTTAACCTTCTATTTAGTAGGCTTTTTACCAGCATATTATTTTACTATATGACTTCTTAGAATTCGAGTTGTGGTCATGATAGTAAAATACTAATAGTAATATACCTTACCGTCATCTTTCTCTTTGCGGTTTCTATAGGCAACAGGACAACAGCTATGCACCCAATAAATCCAAGTACGGCATAGGTCGTGATAGGGATGTACGCAGATGTTCTGATCATCATCTGGCAGATAGAAAAATGCAGCAACACATTTAAAAACGAGTGTGCTGACTGTGTGTCAGATAGGCCTGCTACCCCCTCCCCAAAAAAGAAGAAAATCAATTAATTGATTAAAAATTACAAATACAAACAACAACTAAGAACAATTTTTTTTAAAACACCCAAAAAGTATACTCACAAACACCATCACCACTAGATTCTATCACCATCCGTCGCACTAATACAATCACTTTCAACATTTCATAGAAAAAGAACACATGGAAACAATGAAGTTTAACATTGGTAAATAACTGAACTGGTGCACTATTTGTAGCCTTTACCTGTTTGGTCCCCACGTTCAGGCTGTATGTACCAACCATCAGTCAATCCGTCTTACAAACACAAGAGAGTCAGGATACAAGAGCAACGGTAGACCATGCAAAACTTAAAACTTGGCTTGATAGCGTTAAAGAGGTCCTCCAAAAGCATAAGTTGTCAAGAACAGAAGCCCACACATCTAGCCCTTGAACAAAGATAGCAATTATTATTATAGCTCTTACTTAAGATGAGCTAACCTGAGCAATGAACGGCGTGATGATCACTCCGACACGAGTCATGCTGGTGTTCCATCCAATGCCGATAGCCCGCACAGAGGTAGGATACACCTGGAGCAAGAAAAAAAAGGATGGGGGAGTAAACGAGGGGGGGGGGGGAGTATGGCAGGGTTTTTATTTCAGTTTGAAGCTCTATCAGGCACAAAAGCAATGCTTCCTGTATGCTTGTATATTGCTTATACAATAAGCATTGGGCATACTGCTTTTCTGGACATTGGACTATTGGTTGTGGAATGTGTGGGTATAGAAAAAAATAAAGCAAGAAGGAATAAGGAAACTGCAGTCAACAAAAATAAACTCGTTCAAAGACGAGAAATGTAACAAAATCAAAACGGTTAAAATATAATATATTGGTAAACAAGGAATAAAGAGAGAATACAATGCGAAAAAGCATGAAAATTTGGCATGGTTAATATCTTTTTAAAACTTCTACGTTTTCACTTTTCTGGATCTTCTATAACAACCAAGCCCATAGCATCGTAGTTTTGGATAGAAAACGCTTCAAACAATATTTAATTTTATTTGATGGAACTAGAACTTTGCTTCGTGTCAGACGTAAAATGCCACCCACTCACTCACAAAATCCCTTCTTTATCACAGCAACATAATAATGTGCACTCTAATGGTGTGTTCTACAGTGAACAAGAATAACGACAGAGTGCACAAGCTTGGATTATTAAAATTAAAAGATAAGTCTACAGCAATAACTCACCTCAGTGGTATATACGAAGGCTCCTTGAGAGGCCCCGTTGCTCATTCCGCGGGCAACGAACAACAGCACGACCAGAGCATTCCTGGAATAAGATTATGTGACATTGTATGCCGATATCTCAGTTGGTGAGATATTTCACTTTCGAGAATAACTTTTTTCTCAAGGTGGGATGGGAGTAGTGGGTTTTGTTGTTTTTGTTGTTGTTGTTGTTGTTGTTGTTGTTGTTGTTGTTTTGGTTTGGGTATTGGTGGGTTTTTTTGGGTGGGGTAGTGTTTTATTTTCGTTTTGTTGGGGGAGCCAAAAATTTGGGTGAGGGGGGACACTTAGGGATACTACTTATTCTTTAAAAAAATCAAAGTAGAGGACCATGAAACGAAACAGTGATATTTCTTAGTAAAGTTTTAATGGATGATTAATTCTTTTAAAATTTAAAACAAAGTTACAAGTTAGTTGGAGAGCCAGAACTGACTCACCTGGGCATGCAGATGTTGCACAACAACATGGCGATTGTGTAGCCCAACAGCAGTATGGCCAGGGTTGTCTTGCGTCGGAGTTTGGCCATCAACACCATGGACAAGAGAATACCTGTTTTTGTTTTAGTAGAGGTTTTAAGGTGCTCGCAACTGCACAAGATCATATGAGCGTCAAGGGGTGGATGTCAAAAGAAAAGTCCTTAGAGGGAATCAGGCTTACTCTGCTCACCTCTCTAGCACACAGTCTGCTTTGACTATCAAGGCACCCCAGAAATAGCGGGTCACAAGAGTGTGACAGACATACAAAAGAAGTAGAGAAAAAATGACGATAGTAAAGATTACGAAAGAAAAAGCAGCAGTTTCCTGTTGCAGTTCAGACACAATTATGAGCATGACAGTGTTGAATGTCCCATTTACAGTTCTACTGTGCATAAGAACAAGTTAATGCCCCC